ACCCTCACGGATTTGTCATTACTGGGGAGCCTCTGTCTTGCCACAGTACCCTAGCCTCTGACTTAGAAACTGCAGAAAGCACAAACTCGGGCCCACATGTTCTTCGATGCAACATGGGAATAATATAAGTTTACTAATCCTTTGGGCTTGGAATAAGAAATTTAATAGACTTTTTCTAGTGCCCACAGGCTCCATGGGCAGGCATGGATGGCACTGGTCACTTTTCAGCAGGCAACTATGCTCTGAGCATAACTGAGCCTAAGAGCAATTGGGCAGTATTCAGGTCAATTTGCCTCAGTATGAATATAGTATCTATAATGTGGTGAGGACTTGATAAGCAAGCACAGGCCAGAGACAGACTGTCATTTCAATCCACAGGGAAGGAGATGCTTTATTTCCGGTTAAGGTTGAAGTGCCCATTTGGAAGTCTAGACAGTCCTAAAATTTTAATCCCAGCACTTGGGAGGCAGAGGCAGGTGGATCTTTGTGAGTTCGAGACCAGCTTGGTCTACATAGTGAGTTCCAGGACAACTGGAGCTACAGGGAGACCCTGTCTCAAAAAGACAAAAAAAAAATTTTTTTTTTACAAAATCAATTTAACCCTTGATTTGAGCTTGAAGCCTAATGAAAAATGCTGAAATAATAATATTTATGTAGAGAAAAACTTCCAATCCTACCTGGATAATTGACGGGAAGCACCTTTTCTCCACGTCTCCAAAAGGGCAAAGCAAGGAGGTGGAAGGTAGACTCTGGAACCAGCACAGCCTCTCCTAGGGACAGAGGTAAATACTTGAGGTTGGCAAGGTCACCAGAGCTCAGCACAGACCAGCAACCCAGTGGAGCAGTGGGAGCTTGGATGGGCAAGAGTGAACCTTTATTTCTGCTGGCAATTCTCAAGAAGGTGTAAAAATCAAGAGGTGACAGCAAGCTTATGCAGATATTCCTAGCTTTGGGTCCAGAGTGGACATGACAGATAACATCCATGCTGCAGTGGTAAGCTCACCCTAAAACAGGCCACAGCGGGTGAGCAGGGAAAATGTGATGGGAAGAAAGAACCAGTCCAGACTCTACCAGGAGCTAGTGTGCTTCCCAAGTGGACACCTTAGTCTCTCTTAGACACAAAGAATGCTGATGCTGAATGCCTGGAATGCTGACAACAGTGAAGACCACTGTGTGAAGCCATGGTGTAAACTGGAAAGGGCTAACCACAAGCCGCAGTAACAGCAGTGATGATGACTGGATGTGACTTCTGAGCCAGGCCCCTACTAAGTGCTTTACATACCTCATTTCAAGGGCTTGGTGGTTGGCTAGGTAATAGCCTCCCCAAAATGCCAACACTCTCATTCCAGCAATCTATAAATGTTGCATTAAATGGCCAAAATGGTCCTTGCAGATGCGACTAAGTTAGGAATCTTCAGAGCAGGAGGGATTCTCTAAATGCAATCACTGGGATTCTTTTTTTAATATTTATTATTATGATTTTTATTTTATGTGTATGCATGTATTGCCTGCATGTATGTAAGTGCACCTGTGTCATGCAATGCCCTCAGGGGTCAGAAGAGGCTATCGGATCCCCTGAGGCTGGAGTTACCGACAGTTGTTAGCTGCCATGTGGGTGTTGAGATTCAAACCCGGGTCTTCTGTAAGAACAACCAGTGTTCTTAACCACTGAGCCATCTTTCCAGCCCAATTACTGGGATTCTTAAGAGAAAGTAGGCAATCACAGTGAAACCACAAGAGGTTGGAATGATGCAAGGGAGGCGCTGTAGGCCAATGGATGTTAATAACCTTTACAAGCCTCAGTAGGAAGAAAACAGATCCCCATCTGACAAAGCCCCCAGAGAAACAGAGCCCCATGAGCCTACTGTGGATTTTGGGCCTTCAGACTATAGGATAGTAAATTTAAACCATGGTCATCTGGCAGGCTTGCTTAAATTCAGATCTTGGCACCACCACTTGCTTCTTCATCCATGAAACAGAGGCGGTCACAGAATTCCCTGATTCCTGGGGTGATAAGAGGAATTAAATGGAATAATAGGATATAGCCCCATCACCCAGACCTGCCTGCCATACCAGAAGCTCTTGGCTAATGTTGGTGACCTTCTCAGTTGATGTTGGGGATTGGTGTCATCTCATATAATAGCTGATTAAGCCCTTTGAGATCAACCCCTGCGTTGCAAAGGAGAAATGAGATGAGAGTCAGAAAGTTACCCATAGCCTATAAATGTCAGAGGCAGACTTTAACAAGGTCTCTGCCTTCAAGTCCCAGGCTCACCAGCTCTGCCCCTCTGCACTGAACTTCTCAATTGAATACCAGCCGCTTAGGCAGGACCCAAGAACCAGACAGACCATGGTGCCTTCCATGAGCCAAAGCTGCCAAGACTAGGAATCAAATAAATCTGTGTTTCTTAGCAAAACAGCAACTGCAGCCTCCAAAGCGATCAGTGTCTAAGAGGTTAGAAACCTTCTGACATCCCTGGGCCAGTCAGCCCCAAGCAGCAAATCATGAAAGTCTGAATACTGTGTTTAGTCATTTTGATTCTGGAATAATTGCTATTATCATAAATGTTTTACAGCTCTCATTATGGCTCACATTTAAATATCAGTGTAGTAATACATTAATAAGTCATCGCTACCGGACTACTGCTGAATACAGTTCCAGCCAAAGCCTGTGTATAGCTTCCCTGAATATTCAGCCAGATGAGGGCTGGCTGTGAACTCCACCTGACGGTGAATAGCTGGGCCTGGTCAGAAGGAATGCCTTCCTGCTGAGGCTTCTTGCTCTTTGCCTTTGAGAGATGAAGAGGAGGCCCACAGTTTTGTCACATAGTCAACAAACATAACTATTCCTCCAAGTGTAGAACCTAGAATTCTGAGATAAGAGAAGTGATCACATTGGTCCTGAAGGCTTTCCTGATTCATAGTAGAAGGGCAGCCTGGCCTGATGGTGATGAATTCTTCAGTGTTGATGAGACAGTCCAAAAAGTTCCTGGGTGGACAGAGATAGGAGAGAGGGAGAGGGAGAG